AATTTACAATCCCAATACAAATACCAATCCCATTCTTCAATGAGATGGAAAAGGCAATTTCCAGTTTCGTTTGGAATGGAAAGAAGCCTCGAATAAGGAAAGCACTCCTTAAAAATAGAGAAAAGGTAGGAGGCATCTCATTCCCTGATTTAAAATCCTACTACACTGCCATGGTAGTTAAGACAGCATAGTACTGGTACAATGAGAGACACATAGCTCAATGGAATAGAATTGAGAACCCGGAAATCAGCCCATCTATTTGTGGTCAACTGATTTTTTCACAAGGAGATGAAATCAGTTAGGTGGGGAAACGCTAGCCTTTTTAACAAATGGTGCTGGCAGAATTGGAAAACTCTCTGCAGAAGACTTAAGCAAGATCCACACCTCACTCCATACACAAAAACGAACTCAAGATGGATCATAGACCTAGGTCTAAAACCAAGAACTATAAACTTCATTTTAAAAAAGCTTGGAAGAACTTTAGTAGTCCCAATGCAAAACATAAACAGTCTTCCAAGTATCCTGAAAAATCTACAATAAGGAGACGATAAAATAGATGAATGGGACCTTCTAAGAATCAAATCCCTCTGCACGTCCAAAAACTTCTCCAACAGGGTAAAAAGGGAAGCCACAGACTGGGAAAAAGTGTTTGGTAATGACATGGCAGATAAGGGACTTATTTCTAGAATTTATAAAATACTTGAGCACCACAACAAGATAAAGGTGAATAATCCAATTGAAAAATGGGCACAGGATATGAACAGACACTTCACCAAAGAAGACATTCAGATGACCAACAAGCACATGAAGAAATGTTCAAAATCCATAGCTCTAAGAGAGATGCAAATTAAAACAACTATGAGATATCATCTCACCCCCATCAGAATAGCAAAATTTAACAGAACAGCAAGCAACAAATGCTGGCGAGGTTGTGGAAAGACTGGAACCTTTATTCACTGTTGTTGGGAATGTAAAATGGTGCAACCACTGTGGAAAGCGGTGTGGTGCTTTCTCAAAAAGTTGCAAATAGAGATACCATTTGACCTCTGCAATTCCACTACTGGGAATATACCCTAAAGAGACTATAACCGACATCCAAGCAGATATATGTACACCCATGTTTATCGCGGCTTTGTTCACAATAGCAAGGAGTTGGAAACAACCTAAGTGCCCATCAACAAGCAAATAGATAGAGAAGCTGTGGTATATTCACACAATGGAATACCATGCTGCATTTAAAAACAAGGAACTCTTGCAATATTATCCAAAATGGTTGCCTCTGGGGGACATTATGCTGAATAAAATATCTCAGTCACGAAAGGACAAATACTCTATGGTGACATTGTTGTAGAATGAAGCTGATATCAGGGAGGCTGTAAGACTGAGAAAAACTGGATAAATGTATACTGCATTGAAGCCAATGACGGAGAGAACAGTTTAAAAGTAATATTTTTTAGGGCATTATGATTATCATAAGTGTCAGGAATGAGTGTTGCAGAGTGGAGTATACTCGGGATGGGGGTTGGGGTTGTGGGGGGATTGTATACCAATGAAGGAGTTTTTCTTTTGCTTTTCAAAAGAAGAGTGAACTGGGGGGGGGCGGGGAGAAAAGTACAACAATGAATGTATGGAAATCCAAAATCTCTGTAAATGTTCATATAAATTAATTTTAAAAAAAGAAAGGGACCAGACAAGGATGTCCACTATCACCACTCCTATTCAATAGTGTATTGGACATACTTGATAGGGCAATATGACAATAGAGGGAAATAAGAGGCATTCAGATTGTAAAATTTCTGCTATTTACAGACAATATGATAGTGTACAAAGAAAACCCCAAAGACTAAACAACAACAACAACAAAACCTGTTAGACCTAGTATATGAATTTAGTAGAGTGGCAGAATATAAGATGAATATAGAAAAATCAATGGGATTTCTCTATAGTAACAAAGAAAACATGGAAAAGGAATCTAAAGGAATATAATTTACACTAGCGAACTAGAAACTGCGATATTTGGGAAGAAGCCTAACTAGAGAAACAAAAGACCTTTATAAGGAAAATTATAAATCCTTACTGCCAGAAACAATAAAAGATCTAACTAAATAGAAAAATATCCCTTGTTCATGAGTATGAAGACTCAATACAGTGAAAATTACAATTCTAGGAAAAGCAATTTACATGTTCAACACACTCCCAGTAGAGACACTAAGTTCCTTTTCAAAGAGATAGAAAGGACAATTGACTGTGGAAGAAACACAGTTGCCAGGCCCTAAGCCCTATGGGCATCAGACCAAGAAACGACCACATATACATAGATCCTTCAAAAAATGTTGCTGTGCCCTAGGTTATTATATAATTACAGCAACTAACATGATGTCAATAAAGCAGCAATCTGCCTCAGCAATCATGAAAAAAACCTAGAATAACACTTCCCCTAAAGAAGCAGACCCAATTATTACCTCAGATAGAAAGAACAACAACAACAACAAAAAAAAAGTTGATGTGGAGATATTTTTAATACTACAGAAAAAGATACAAATGTTGGAAGAAACAATGAAAAACAGTAAGAGATCATATATCTCAGAGACAATCAAGAAAAAATATATTGAGGAGAAGCAAAATGAACAGCTATGGAAGAAAATGCGAAACATAGAAGAAAGAATTGATAGTATAGATAAAGAAGTTGTTGTTGGTGGTGGTGGTGTTGTTAAGTGCCATCGAATCGCTTGTGACTCATAGCGACTCTATGTACAACAGCCCTAAACTCTGCTCTGTCCTGTGCCAATCTCACTGTCTCTGACACGCCCACCCCAATTACCCCAGTCACTGAATCAATCTACCTCATAGAGGGTCTTCCCCTCTTGTGCCGACCCTCCACCCTCTCAAGCATGATGTCCCTCTCCAAGGACCTGTTCCTCCTTACAACATGTCCAAAATATGTCAGACAAAGCCCCAGAATCCTTGCCTCCAATGAGCAGCCTGGTTAAACCCTCTCTAGGAGGAATCTGCTTGTTTTCTTGGCAGTCCATCGTACATTGAATACTCTTCTCCAGCACCACAGCTCAAGTACAAGAACTAAAAAAAAAAATTTATCACAAGACAGGTACAACCAACACAGTACTGGAAATAACAGAAAAGCATAAAAATGCAATGCAGAATATCAAGACTGAAATGGTAGAAGTGTCCAGAATGCTGGTAGCACAAAAAGGAAAAGAAAAAAAAAAAGGACTGAAGGGATGGTATAGAGAGTGAGTTGAAAGAACAGATCCTCATGTGAAACATACAAGAAGAAAAATTGAAAATGAGATATAAAGATAATGTTGAAACCATTAGAATCATGTGGGATGACATCAAAAGGAAAAACACAGTGAACACCAAATAGACAAGACTCAAAAAGAAAAACATCAAGACATATCGTAGTCAAATTCTCCAAATAAAAGATAAGAATAAAATTCTAAAAGCAGCACAAGAAAAACAAAGTTACCTACAAGGGGAAACAATTAGATTAAGTTCTGATTTTTCAGCAGAAATCAAGCAAGCTAGAAGGCAATGGAATTCCATACACAGAAAGTTGAAAGAAAACAGTTGCCAACCAAGGATCCTATACCCAGCAAAGCTCTCCATCAAATGAAGGAGAAATTAGATCCTTTGCAGAAAAGAAGGAACTTAAGAAATTTGTGAAAACAAAACCAAAACTACAAGAAATTTTAAGTGATGCCCTTCACATGGAGATGCCAAAGGAAAGTGCATAGATCATGGTAACCAGAAACAACAGAAAAAGAAACACAGCAAAATGGCAAAAGTAAAACCAGGCCTGACAATAATCACACTTAATGTGAATGAGAGAGAGATTATGGCAGAACAGATTTTCCGGGAGGCTGGTTCTATAAGGAGAAATGTGGCATCAGGATTTGTGGAAGATCCGTCAACAATCTGCATTATGCAAATAACACAACCCTGCTTACTGAAACTGAGGAGGACCTGAAGTGCTTGCTGCAGAGGGTCAAGGATTGCAGCCTTCAATATAGATTGAGGCTCAATATCAAGAAGACAAAGATTCTCACCACTGGGCCAATTGGCAGCATCAGGATGGATGGTGAAGGGATTGAGATTGTTCACAGTTTTAGTTTGCTTGGCTCCACAGTCAACACTCTTGGTACCAACAGCCAAGAAATTAAAAGACATATTGTGATGGGAAAGTCTACTGTTTGGGATCTCGCCAGGGTACTGAAAAGCAATGGTGTCACTCTGGAGACTAAGTTGTGCCTGATACATGCCATGGTCTTTGCAGTCACTTATTATGCATCAGAGAGCTGGACAATGGCTAGAGAGGATAGAAGGAGAATTGATGCCTTTGACCTATGGTGCTGGAGAAGAGTATTCAATATACCATGGACTGCTAAGAGAGCGAACAGGTTCATCCTAGAGAGGGTTAAAACAAGCTGTTCCTTGGAGGCAAGGATTCTGATGCTTCATCTGACATACTTTGGACATGTTTTAAGGAAGGATCGATCCTTGGAGAGGAAAATCATGCTTGGGAGGGTGGAGGGATAGCGCAGGAGAGGAAGACCCTCTATGAGGTGCATTGATTCAGTGACTGGAGTAATGGGGTGGGTGTGTCAGAGACAGTGAGATTGGCACAGGGCAGAGCAGGGTTTAGGGCTATTGTACATAGGGTCGCTATGAGTCTCAAGCGCCTCAACAGCACATAACAATAATATGAATGGACTAAATGCACCAATTTAGAGAAAAAGAGGAGCCGCCCTGCGCACGCGCGCCCCATCCTGCCGCCTCCCTCCCTCCTCCTTTCTCCCTCTCTGAACCTTCCTGCTGCTGCGTTCAGATCTTGCTGCTCCAGCCTCGGGGGCACTTACCATCCTCACAGCCTGTGATCCACAGATGGGGCGGAAAAAATAACTATATATCGTTCTTTTGTCCCACACACACCTGAGGCGAGAGGAAAAAAAACCCCAACACCGAAACCTTAATTTTCCACCATGAGTGAAATCGTGCATATCCAGGCTGGTCACTGTGGCAACCAGATCGGTGCCAAGTTCTGGGAGGTGATCAGTGATGAACATGGCATCAACCCCACCGGCACCTACAATGGGGACAGCGACCTGCAGCTGGACCACATCTCAGTGTACTACAATGAAGCCACAGGTGGCAAATATGTTCCTCGTGCTATCTTGGTGGATCTAGATCCTGGAACCATGGACTCAGTTCGCTCAGGTCCTTTTGGCCAGATCTTCAGACCTGACAACTTTGGTTTTGGTCAGTCTGGGGCAGGCAACAACTGGGCCAAGGGCCACTATACAGAAGGGGCTGAGCTGGTCGATTCCATCTTGGATGTGGTGCAGAAGGAGGCTGAGAGCTGTGACTGCCTGCAGGGCTTACAGCTGACCCACTCTCTCGGTGGAGGCACAGGCTCCGGAATGGGTACCTTGCTCATCAGCAAGATCAGAGAAGAGTATCCTGACCGCATCATGAACACCTTCAGTGTGGTGCCTTCACCCAAAGTATCCAACACTGTGGTTGAGCCCTACAATGCCACCCTCTCTGCCCACCAGTTGGTAAAGAACACTGATGAGACCTACTGCATCGATAATGAAGCCCTCAATGATATCTGCTTGCGTACCCTCAAGCTGACCACACCAACCTATGGAGACCTCAACCACCTTGTCTCAGCCACCATGAGCGGCATCACCACCTGCCTCCGCTTCCCTGGCCAGCTCAATGCTGACTTCCACAAGCTCGCCGTCAACATGGTGCCATTCCCATGTCTCCATTTCTTAATGTCCCCATTAACCAGCCATGGTAGTCAGCAGTACCAGGCCCTCACTGTGCCTGAGCTCACCCAGCAAGTCTTTGTTTTTTTTTTTTTTGTTTTTTGTTGTTTTTTTTTTCATTCTCATTTTTTTTCTATAATTAT